TGTCTCTCTCGCCAACAGATGTTGGTCCAATAAAAGATATTCCCTCACCCGCCTTGTCTCTATAGTCTTTTTAAGCAGAGCAGAGTCCCCTCCCCGGCTCTGCTTTCTACAAGTCTCTTTGGGTCTGTACCCACAGCCCATACACTCCATGTAGCAAGGTCTTATAGACCAACACTGGCTAGCCATGTGGCACATGTTTGTCTCATAGCTGTCCAGTAGGCCACCCCTCCTACTGCCAGTGGACTACTCTCCCCTCTGCCACAGTATTCACACTGGCAACACACAGGGGACAAGGCAGGGAGGTAGGTGACACTGCAGGCATTGGGGTTTCCAGGGTAGGATGTATGCAGGGAATTGCTCATACATGGGCCATGGCCCAGTTAAATCTGGCAGCCAGAGTGCTGACCTGCAGGATCCACACATGCATGGATAGGATAGACCCTCACGCCTCTGATACCCATTTGTCCTACGTGCCAAGTACACATGTAAGCATCCCTCCTGCCAGGCTAACACCCCCCCTGGGTGTGTGAGTCACACCAACCTGCCAGTCTGTTGCAGGCACCTCCGCTCAAAATGCCCCTCTAGCAGTGACGGCAGTTCAGATATTGGAGAGGGGTGTAAATTCCAGTCCCCGCTCATCCCACCCCCTCCTCCTGCAGGGACCCTGGGTCTCCCTCGGCCGGGAAGTCTCCCCACTTTCTGACCCACACAGTGTGTGAGCCAGTGCTGCCAGGGGTCAAGTTCTTGGTGGACTCCCCTGTGTTCCACGGCACAGCAACAGACGCCCTGTGTGCCAGGTCACAACGCCATCTGTCGGTACAGGGGGGCGGCAGGCCACTGTCAGTGAATGGCATTGCAACCCCCAGGTTGCCCAAGGGCATCCAGCAGCGCAGTGGCAGAGCTGGGTCTCCTCACGCCCAGCCCAGTGCCTCACCCACTAGACCACACTGCTTCTTGGGCACCTAGTGCTATAGAGACTGATGGAGGATAGGAGTGTCTGTGGACAGCATGGTCCTGTGCTCCTTACTCAGCCCACTGTCAATCAGGTGTGACACCAATCGGATTATGCCGATGTGAATGGGGAGCGAGAGGAGAACCTGGCCCTGCTTCTTTTCCTGGAGCCTCAGCACCCAGGGCTGGGAGGGGTCTCACATGCAAAGCTAAAGGCAGGCCCTGGAGGGGAGACCTGCAGGGACTTTACAGAATCAGGATAAAGAGAGGGCCCCTCAGCCCAGCTATAGGGGGCCAGTGGCTCACAGCGGACAGAGTGGTTGAGAAGATGGGCCACTGCGTTTCCCAGCTATGGCCTCCAGCCCTGCTCACGTCCACACAGAGTACTGCTGCAGAGATATCCTCCTAGCCCAGAGGTGGGCAAACTACAGCCCACAAGCCACATCGGCCTGCGGGACTGTCCTACCTGGCCCCAAGCTCCTGGCCCGGGAAGCTAGCCCCTGGCACCTCCCCCGCTGTCCCCCCTCTCCCGCAGCCTCAGCGTGCTGCGCCGCCAGCGCTCTGGCCTGCCGCTCCAGCCGGGCAGCATGGTGGCATGGCTGCAAGCTCCTGCCGCTCTGAACGGCGTGGTAAGGGAGCTGGGGGGAGGGGGAAGTTGGATAGCAGCCGGGACAGTCAGGGGACAGGGAGCAGGGGGTTGGATAGGGGGTGGGATACCGGGGGGGGTGGTTAGGACGGGGGGGTCCTGGGAAGGGGCGGTCAGGGGACAAGGAGCAGGGGGGCTTGGATGGGTCGGGGGTTCTGAGGGCGGCAGTCAGGGGGCAGGAAGTGGGAGGGGGTGGATGGGGCAGGGGCCAGGCTGTTTGGGGAGGCACAGCCTTCCCTACCCGGCCCTCCATAAAGTTTCGCAACCCCGATGTGGCCCTAGGGCCAAAAAGTTTGCCCACCCCTGTCCTAGCTTGTCGTTTGGGCCATCTTGCCCCTCTCTTTGCCTCCCTCGTCTCTACTGCATCGTACGTAAGCTAACTGTCTTCACTGGCAATGGCCCCAGGGCCTCTCCCCACCCTCCCTTTCACCCACTCCCGAGATTCCAGACGGCGACTCCTGCCTCCGATTGGACCATGACGGTAGGGTGACCAGACAGCAAATGTGAAAAATCGGGACAGGGGTGGGGGTTAATAGGAGCCTATATAAGAAAAAGACCCCAAAAATCGGGTTTCAATCCCCTGCTCCCAGTGTAGGAACGGATGCACCAGGCATTAGGCCCAGAGCACGTGGCGGACGTTTTTCCAACAGCGCCCAGGAGGCAGGAACCCAGGGCGGGGGAGTATTTCCAACCCAGACAGCCTCTCGATGCTAGGAGACCCCATCTGGAAGGCTGCCTGTTCGAACGGCTCCCTACGCAGATCACGGGGGATCTCGGCAAAGAATGCATACGGGGAACACATAGGAAAGAGCTGAGGACCTGTTCCTGGCTTGTACACTCAGCTTTCCCCAGAGCTCCGGCCCCCTCATCCACTGCTCCTCTCCTCCCATAAACAAGTGACGGGGCCTTGCTTGATGAATTCCAGGGCTCCTGAGACAGGCTGCAAAGCAGCAATAACTCTCCCTGGGAGCTGAGCGAATGGAGGTGGCACTTCCGACAAGAAGCCTTTCCCTTTATGGACTCCTTAGCTCCCAGTCATAAACCTTGCTGCTTTTCTCCGTCAGCGCTGGCCTCTGTAACCCTGCCAGCGGGGCCTTAACTCTGGGACCTACACGGGACCCCCAGCCATAACTTAGCTGCCCGCTCAGATCCCCGAGGTAGGCTGCAGGACTGTCAGCTACCAGTTATTTATTCACTTTAAAAGCAAAAATAGCAGCCCGTGCATATGCCCCTGGCTCTGACACTCTATCATCTCCGGGGAGGTCTGAGCAGGCAGAGGAGCGTGCGGATTCCTTTTCTTGTTTCAAGGGACTCTAGCAGCTGGATTGAGATCTCTGGGGATTTCGCTCTTCTGTATCCACTCAGCAGGTGCAGCGCGCACGCGCGTGCGTGTGCGTGTGTGTGTGTGAGAGAGAGAGAGAGACACCACTGCCCTCGCCTCTACTCTGCTTACAGCTAATGGAGATTTTCGTTTTGCTCTGAAAGTAGGGGCCTGGGCTTTCTGGAGCAAGATGATCTGAATTAGGAGCCCACCGTCACTATGAAATTCTAAGCGCACACAGTGTGAAACAGGGGGACAACTATGCAGTTCTTAAGTGGCCAAACTGAGGGGGGCACGGAGGAACATTTGGGGGGGGCACAGCACAGAGCGCGGGGGGGGGAGGGGAAATGCCACCCCGCCCCGCTCTGCCCCCAGCTCCACTTTGGCTCCAATCCCAGCCCCAGCTGAAGATCGGGCCCCAGCCATGGCCCCGCTCCCGACCCCAACCATGGCTCTGCTCCCGGCTGCAGCCCCAGCTCCAGCCCCGGCCTCAGCTCCAGTTCTCAGGGGCGGGATGTGGACAGGTTCCACTATGGGTAAGGGGGGCAGGATGGAAGAAGTTGGGGAACCACTGATCTAAAAGACCGTCAAGCAGAGTTTTCCCCTAGAAAAGGCTCTAGAGCTAAGGCGAATATGGGAACTGGTTCAAATGAAAGCCTTACAAGATGGTTGCTAGAATAGGAGTCGTGACCAGCAACTTGACATGAGCTTCTGGCCCACACAGACTGGTTACAAGCTTCACCACCAGCCTTCATTTAAAATGAATTACTCACAAGCCCCCGCCTAAGGGGTAGCCCCCCCTCCCATAAATTAGCACCACGGGGGCAGAGGGTTGAACTGGGGGCTGTTTGTCGTGGGGGGAAAGAGACAGAGAGAGGAGCAGAATGAGAGACAAGAAAGAGAGGGATGCTGAGCAAAGAGCCGGCAAACCCCAAACCCCTCATTCCCAGCCCCACCCCAGAGCCCTCACCACCCCCTGCACCCCAACCCCCTGGAAAAAGCCTAGAGAGGGCTTGTGGGGCGCTGGCTGAATGGGTGCTGTGAGTGAGGCCACTTTGGTGCCTCCTGTGTTCAGGGATGCAGGACTTTACAAGGAAGGGACAAACACACAAGACTGCATCGATTGAAGACAATCTCAGATTCCATCATCAATTTCTGCTCTCAACTGGACAACCCGCAGGGTCCCAGAATTTGAGTAGCTGCTCGGGTCAAAGGGGATAAAGGAGTGGTTTAGTGCTGTTAACAGTCAACAGAGATGTTTTATTAACATAGAATCATAGAAGATTTGGGTTGGAAGAGACCTCAGGAGGTCATCTAGTCCAACGCCCTGCTCAAAGCAGGACCAACCCCAACTAAATCATCTCAGCCAGGGCTTTGTCAAGCCTGGCTTTAAAAATCTCCAAGGATGGAGATTCCACCACTTCCCTAGGTAACCCATTCCAGTGCTTCACTACCCTCCTAGTGAAATAGTGTTTCCTAATATCCAACCTAGACCTCCCCCACTGAGACCATTGTTCCTTGTTTTGTCATCTGCCACCACCAAGAACAGCCGAGCTCCATCCTCTTTGGAACCCCCCTTCAGGTAGTTGAAGGCGGCTATCAAATCCCCCCCCTTCTCTTCTGCAGACCAAATAACCCCAGTTCCCTCAGCCTCTCCTCGTAAGTCATGTGCCCCAGCCCCCTAATTATTTCAGCCCCCTAAACAGCTTCTTACTTGTGGGGCCAGCCACTCCCATCTCAATGCAACAGGAGCAGAGGCCTGTATCTTGGTATTGTGGGTCCCAGCTTCCCTTCCTGCTTATGGACTCAGAGGCTCAGGTGCAAATTTCACGACTACATAACTGGAGATCATGCAGCTCACGTGCTGGTGGTTGGAGGGTGACATTTCAGTGCCAGGCAGGCACTAACATTCATGGGCGAGGGGCTCAGCCCCTTCATGCTGCCTCGACTTGATGCCCCGGCTATTTTTAAAAGGTTAGTTTGGAGCACAAGTGAAAGAAAAAGGTTTGCCTCGGGGGCTTTGCCGTGAGCAAGGCGGCGCCGGGCGGGTTTGTACAACATGAGGATGAGGATGTCTCTTACCAGGCTGGAGTTGGAAGCATTGGTATCATCGTTTGGCATGGGCAGGTAGACGGCCAACGCCACGCAGTTGGCAAAGATGGTCATCAGGATAATGATCTCGAAGGGTCTGTGGGTGGTCATTAAGGAGAAGCACAGAGCTGAGGCGCAGTCCCTGCATACGCACCAATTAACGGTAACCACCTCGTCAGCTGGTACAATGCCACGGCACCAGCCATATTTACACAGGAGAGGCCCAGGGATGGACTAGCCAGGGGGGCTGGGGGCACTGGCAGAGCTGGGGGGACACCCAGGGCTGCAATAACACGGGGTGCGGTTGCCATCAGACCTGCCAACACTCCCACAGTTTCAGAGCCTCTTACAGATCTGGGGCACAGCCCATCAGTCTAAAGGGAAATCAGTCTCCGATTGGCTGCCTTCCCTACTGCCCCACCCCTCGGGGAAGGCTCCCCCTATCCTCTCCTGTGAACGGGGACGGGTTCCTGCCTCCGCTTCTCCCCATCTCCCTCCCACCCTAGGGCTGCCAACTTTCTACTTGCACAAAACCGAACAACCTTGCCCCACCTCCTGCCCCACCCCCTCCAAGGCCCCGCCCCTGCTCACTCCATCCCCCCTCCCTCTGTTGCTTGCTCTCCTCACCCTCACTCACTCGCTCATTTTCACCAGGCTGGGGCAGGGGGCTGGGGTGTGGGAGAGGGTGAGGGCTCCAGCTGGGGGTGCAAGTTCCAGGATGGGGCCAGAAATGAGAGGTTCAGGGTGTGGGAGGGGACTCTGGGCTGGGGCAGGGGGTTGGGGTGCAGGGGGGGGTGAGGGCTCTGGGGTGGGGCTGGGAATGAGGGGTTTGGGGTTTAGGAGGATGCTCCATGCTGGCACCAAGGGGTTTTGAGGGCAGGAGGGATCAGGGCTGGAGCAGGGGGTTGGGGCCGGAGAGTGGGTCAGGGGTGCAGGCTCCAGGCGGCACTTACCTCAAACAGCTCCCAGAAGCAGTGGCATGCCCCCCTCCGACTCCTATGCGGAGGCACAACCAAGTGGCTCTGCATGCTGCCCTGTCTGCAGGCGCCACCCCCGCAGCTCCCATTGGCTGTGGTTCCCGGCCAATGGGAGCTGCGGGGGCGGCGCTTGGGGCAGGGGAAGCTTGAGGAGGGGGGATGAAGAACCTCTGCATAAGGAGCAGAGGGGCAAATGTGGGGCTGGGGGAGGGGCTCAGCAGTGAGGGGGAGCTGGGGAAGATTGGGCAGCTAGAGGAGCACAAGACTGATGGGGAGGCACAGATCTGATGTGGGGAAATGTGGGAGCACATTAGTAAGTGCTGTGGGGCTGCTGTGACCCAGTGACCTCTTGATGCCAACTGGCACAGCAGGTGCAGGGGGTTTTACAGGGCTCTCCTGGGTCAGTTCTATGCACGTTAGTACTCCAGAAGACAGTCTCCAGCAACAGCCAGTATCATGCTAGTCATCACAATCATTTTGAAATGTATGCATGGATAATATTTAAGGAATTATGTCTCTATACTTAAAATTATGTTCTTAAAGCCTCGGGAGCTGTGGCAGGTAATCAGGAGGGGACATATCTCAGACAGGTTCCTTTCGGGAAGGGGTTACAGACACTTATCTCCCCGTCTGGTCCTTGTCTGTATTGTGTACAGTCCCTTCACAGCAGGAGTCTAGCTTGTGGCTCAGTATGCAACTAATCTAGATTACAAAATTGACAAGAGACTGCAAAATCTACCAGTCCTCGCCTACAGACAGCCCCCCAACCTGAACCAAATACTCACCAGCAACCACACACCACACAACAAAAACACTAACCCAGGAACCAAACCCTGCTGCAAACCCTGGTGCCAACTCTGTCCACATATCTATTCACAGGACACCATCATAGGGACCTAACCACATCAGCCACACCATCCGGGGCTCGTTCACCTGCACATCTACCAATGTGATATATGCCATCATGTGCCAGCAATGCCCCTCTGCCATGTACATTGGCCAAACTGGACAGTCTCTATGCAAAAGAATAAATGGACACAACTCTGACATCAGGAATTCATAACATTCAAAAACCAGTAGAACACTTCAGTCTCTCTAGTAACTCAATAACAGACCTAAAAGTGGCAATTCTTCAACAAAAAAACTTCAAAAACAGACTCCAACGTGAAGCTGCAGAACTGGAATTAATTTGCAAACTGGACACTATCAGATTAGGCTTGAATAAAGATTGGGAGTGGTTGGGTCATTACAAAACCTAAATTTCATTTCCCCAATACTAATTTCTCCCTACTGTTACTAACACCTTCTTGTCAACTGTCTGTAATGGGCCACACTCTTACCACTTCAAAAGTTATTTTCCCTCCCTTGGTATCCTGCTGTTAATTGATTTATCTCGTTAGACTGACCTCACACTTGGCAAAGCAACCCCCATCCTTTCATGTATTTATACCTGCTCCTGTATTTTCCACTCCATGCATCCGATGAAGTGGGTTCTAGCCCATGAAAGCTTATGCCCAAATAAATGTGTTAGTCTCTAAGGTGCTCCAAGGACTCCTCGTTTTTTTTACTGATAGAGGCTAACACGGCAACCACTCTGAAACCTACCGGGAGGAGCAATTAGCACCAGGGGGTCTGGGTTACGAATAAAGATCAAAGGACTGTTTTGAGATAGCCTGGGCTGCAAAAGAGACACTGGGGGCTCCTGTACTTAGGAGGCAAGCTGCCAGCATGACTTGTCTCATGAAACAAGGATCACAGGCTGTAAAAGGCTGGAAGGATTTTGGGTGAGCATTGCTCTGTACAACATGAAAGTATCGAGTCTAGGTTCTAGAATGCGCGCTCTGATTTTACGTTGTATGTAACCGTTGGTTTCCAATACACGCCCCCCACAGCACGTCTCCCATGCTGGACAACAAGACAGGATGGATAACACAGCAGTTCAGACAATAGAGCTCCTCTGTTGCCCTGCTGTCAGGGGAGGGAGAGAGCAGAGCAGCGCAGAGAGCCCCAGCCAGGACTGAGAGGAGGAGGAGAAAGACAAGCCCTAGCTGCAAGAGAGGTCACCTGGCTGCTGAGTGGCTCCTGCCCGCTAGATTATCCAAATAAAATCCGTGTCCCAGCTGCTATTCGGATAACAGGGAGCGTCCTGTATGTGCTATGTGATCTGCATCAAATAAACTGCTGCGTGTGTCCCTCTGGACACACCCAGTGTGTGCAAAGCAGGGCAGCGATCGGAGGTGGGACTGGGGAGCTGTGGGGGGTGTGGTGTACAGCTGCTTTGGGTGCAGCGAACCTGGGACCACTCAGTGAGCGATCAGCACACTCCAACCTCCCAGTGTCTCTTGGCATGTGTCAATTGCTAACCCTTCAGTGACAGCAGGGCCTGCAGAGGCCTAGAGGGTAGGGCCTGGGGTGCCAGTGGAGGTGAGGAGCTGACCCCCGGTGGGCAGAGACAAGGCTCCCACAAGCAAAGGGCAGGTGGTAGCAAGGTGCCTCCCAACCCCGGGTACCCGTGTGAAGCGTCACGGCTGGGCACAGAATTCATTCATTTGCATTTAGGGAGAGGCTGGAAGTGTCCCCACCCCCACGCCAGGGAGTATTTCATGCACATTTGTCCAAGTTGGCGCAAATTCAAACTCTGCTGCTTTTTGGCCCCAAGGCGTTGCCAAGTCTGGGGGCTGCAGGTCAGCATTGAGGGGCAGTGGCAGAGCTGTGTTTGGGGGTCTGCCGGCTGGGATAGCAGGGGAGCTGGAGGTCAGGGCTGGGTGTGTGGGGTTTGTCTAGCACCTACCTGCCCCCTGTTTGGCCCGGGACTGCTCTTGGCTCCCTAGTAACAGAGACAGGAAAAGCAAAACAAAAGCAGGGTCTTGCACAAACATCTCCTCTTGTTCCTCTGCCGCAGCAGGACCCAGAGCCCCGGGAAGCGGGGAGGGCCGGGAAATGATGCTCGCCGGGCAATTTTGCAAGGCAAACCAATCCAAATGCTCTCCAGCCATTTAACAGATCCAGTCACCCCTCTGCTCAACAGCCTGGGGGGATGGTGCTGGGGGTTTGCTCCCCAGCGGCTGCCCATCCTGCGCCTGCCGTGTATGTGGAGGTGGATCGGAGATAGCGGGGGAGGCAGGGGGGAAGGGTGTCACAGGACACACAGCTCGTGTCCCTCTGTCATCCCACCCACGGAGCGTGCTGGGTTTGCTTTCATGGGGCCAAGCTGAGAACAAGGCAGCGAAGATTCAATCCGGGGGAAGCAGCGTGGCCTGGCTAGGGGATGAGGCAAAGGCCTAAGACACGTCAGCTGCTACAGACAGTGACAGCCGGAGAGGCCCAGCCATTGGGCTAAAGATCACATCACACCTGAGGTCACTGCGTGGCTGGAGACCATCCACAGTGATGACAGGCTGGGCCCCGACGGCCGGGAGGCCGCGCTGCTCCTGGGACACTCACACTGCAGGGGACATTAGCTGGTGCCTGATCCTCAGAGTGGGGCTCCCCGGGGCCGGGCTCCCCAACAAGGCACTCCTCCCCTCCCTGGAATACACCTGGGCCCAACCTGAGTCTCTGCCTGCCAGGGCACCTGCCTGATGAGGACTGTGGGGAGGGGGAGGGATTGATAGGAGTCAGCTTTCAATTACCTTGTGCTGGCCTGTCCTGCAGCAATTTCACACACGCTCCTGCACCGGGGGGTAACTGCGTAAAGCATAAGCAACGCTGAGGACAAGGTCTGACACCCCCATCCTTAGTCCCTTCCCTCTGGGCTCCATTTATTATCCCAACAACCACAAACTCACCCCAGGAAAACAAAACTGCCCCAGCTAGGCTTTCTACCCAGCCACAGCGCCTAGGGCCTCTCTCCAGCAGCTCCTGCAAGCAACTGTCCTTTGCTACAACATCTCTCTGCAGACCCCACCTCCCTGCCCCTCCTTAGAGTGAACTAAGCACCTGTCTCTCCTCAGCTAGGTCTTATTAGTGAACAGGGCCAGCTGGCCACAGGCCTGCAGCCCTTAACGGGGCAAGCTGCCCTGTTACACAGGCCAAATGAACTCTTTAGATATCTTTGGTAAAGGGAGCCATGTATATCCGCGACGACGTCTTTCGGCGACAAACCAACCCCTTCGCTCCATGGATTAAATCTCCTGGCCGTTCAGCATCCGCCTGCTGCCTAGACCTGCCGTAATCAGCTGACAAGGAGGCCAATGGCTGCTCAAGATGATCCTCTGCTGCCTTAATTTTAGTCGCATGCCCGATGTGGACATGCTGGCCATCTGTATATTTCACCCCACACTTTACTGTCACTCACCATCATCAGCCTCCCGTAGCCCTTCCATCCCAGGCTCTTGGGCCTTGAAAAACTCAAGTCCCTTCCCCACCATCTTGTTTCCCTCATTTGCTCCCTGGAAATAACGGTGCTGCCCTGCGTGGAGATCTGCAGAGGGAAAGCGCTCATGAGTTGTTACAGAGAACGAAACCTCCCCTTCCCTCGGGTTTTTCTCCCCTTCTTCAGAGGAGTTAAAGGAGGGACACAGGGATCGAGCGACCCGCCTGGAGTCACACCCAAAGTCAGTGGCAGAAATGGAAACTGAATCCAGGAACTCCTAGTCCCCTGCTTCACCCACTGCATGCGCTGCCTTTTGTCCTGCAAGGATGGAAGGAGCCTGGGACTGTTCTCTGTGCCTCTGCCATTTGGGGATTTACTCTATGTAGTTCCCTCCCAGATACTCCCTAGAGAAGTATTTCCTTGTGGTTGGAGCAGGGGCCTGGGAGTCAGGAGCTCTGTCCCTAATTCTGGTCCTAATCTGCTGCATGCTCGGGTCTTAACTCGTCTGTGGCTGAAGTGCCGAGGGGTGCCAGCCTGGCCCCTTTTGCTGGCAGGAAATGCAGCCAAGTTAAACCAATCCAGCCGTTTGGGATCCTGTGGGGGCAGGGTTCCCTCCTGGCTTCTCTCCATTTATGACTCCGGCAAAGCCCTTTGAGAGCATCAGCTCAGCCCTGGCGGCAGCAGCAGCGTGCATCATAAACCTGTCGCTAGCTGCAGCCTAAATCACACCAGGCCTGGAAATTTGCTGGCTTTTATAGCCAGGTTCTCTGGGGCATGACAGGGAGCAAGCTCCACTGGGCACCGGATAAGCCACCTGCCTTCTGAGCATTGTGAAGCGAGGGTGGAGTCCAGGTGCCATGTATACCAGTAATGGGGCACATGTCCCCCCAGCACCCCAACACTCCCAAACCCCACTTCGTACACCCCCAGCACGCTCACAAAGCACGATTACAATTAACCCCCTACCAAGCAACTGGCCTGACCTTTGAGCAAATGCTACCTTGAGTGGGCCAGAACTAGGCCACTTCCTCTCGTTGCAACCCCAAAGCAGCAAACCAGGGGCATTGTGGGTATAAATAGTGCCCAGTGTATTGTGGGTATAAATAGAATCTGTTGGATTGTGAGTACCAGTGTTACCTGATGCAGAGGAATCTCTCTCATATACATGCTGTCCCCTACCCTGTTTGCAGTGACTGCTTCTTTGACCTTCCTGTTGGCACACCTGTCTCTTTCCTCCTTCCAATCTGTGTTCAGTAGCAGGTCCATTTGCTCTCATGGCTACAAGGGGTTCAGTGGTTATGGCAGTGACCTAGGAGTCGTAGGTTCTAGTCCCAGATGTGCCACTGATTTGCAGGCTGACCCTGAGCTAGTCACTTCTGCTTTCTGTGTCTCTTGTCCCATGTGTAGCTTGAGGGCACTACTTGTGTTACAGCTGTGGGGAGCAGTTGTGAGAATTAATTCGTTAAATGTTTGTAAGGCAGTGAGAGAGCCTCGGGCAAAAGCAGCCTAGAGCGTTATTATTAAAAGGATACAAAAAACCCACCAGGTCCCAGAGCCCTTTGCATAGGGTAGGACTGGGATTGCTCACTCCTCACTGAAATGCTGCCACTTCTGAGGTAGAACACTGCCTGGCAGGAAGGGAGGGAGGGAGGAGTCACTAACAGCTATTATGCAGGAAGGATTTTAGGGAGGCAGAGAGTGCAAAACTGGAGCGTACCCAAGACAAAGGCCCCACACGCCATTTCTTCCAAAAGGTACCACCGAGCCTTCAATGGCCACGCCCCACACTTTAGGTCTGATCCAGCAGTGCGGGGCACCCGGCCGGGTGCCAGGCTTCAGGACTAAGTCCATGAGAGAAGCGCCACCTCTTGAAGAAGTGAGGTTTTTACCCACGAAAGCTTATGCCCAAATAAATCTGTTAGTCTTTAAGGTGCCACCAGACTCTTTGTTGTTTTTGTAGATACAGACTAACACGGCTACCCCTGATACTTGATGCCACTTCTTGAGTCACTAACACCTCTTCCTGCTGCACCCAAGATGATCTCCCAGCCAAGCTGTGACTAGACCCAAACATGCTTCATGTTCCATACCTGCAGCCCACAGTACAGGGACTCTGATGGCCAAACTGCCAGCATGTACCCACAGGATGACAACCCCCCCCCCTTGTTTCATTGATTTCTCCCAGAGTGAGATAGCGCCCTCAAGTCAAGAAAGGATCCAGACGACATGCCTGATGGCCAGAATGCAGCCTAGTACGCCTGGGTTGAATCTGGGCCCTTTGGGATCCTAAAAGCAACAGCCTCTGTCATTTGAGCTAATGAAGTAAGGCCCGGCTTGTTACATATTTAGTAACTGACACAGTTGGAGCCGGAATGCCGTTGACTGCCAATGAGATTTTGGCTCCTAAGTCCCTTTTGAAAATGATATGTAGGGTTCTGAGCACAGCAGTGCCTAAATACCTTCCCAATTCTGGGCCTCGGGCTATGAGTTGGAAGCAGCGGCATCCTCCTAAACACTTGTCACCGGTGTGGCTGCCTGTAGCACTCTCTGCAGGCCACGCCTGGCACTACAGGCACTCCCTGCCTCAGTTTCCTCCTCTGAGGTGGCCCCCAACCCTCAGCCTTCCTGAGGTGGCGATGGGGCCCAGCCCTCCAGCCAAGTCTCTGACTAAAACTTCACCCCTTCCAAGGTAACAAGAATCCAAACACACAAAAGGTTCTTCCGCTCTCCATGGGCTCCTCTTCAGCCCCCCAGGGTTAGCTCCCGGCCCCTCTGGGCTGCCATTCCGTCATCCCTGCTGCAGGGTCCTGATCTGAGGCCAGAAGGGCCCATTGTGGCCATCTGGTCTGACCCTCTGTATCACACAGGGCCTGAACTCATTCCTCTTTGAGCTAGAGCCGAGCTTTTAGTAAAGCCGGGATCAGAAAGCGGGGAGCCTAGGGCAGTGATGGATGGAGAGGGAGAGGTGGAGGGGAAAAACAGAGAGATGGTAGTGGGGAGAGAGAATGAGGAAGAGATGGGGAGAATGAAGGAGAGAAAAAGGGAGAAGGAAAGAAAGAGGGAGAGAGAAGGGAATGGCGGAGGGAGCCATCCATCTGTGATGTCAGACAGCAGCTGCGGGCAGCCGGCGAGCGGCTGACTCACTCTCTGAGCTATTCCAAGCAGCTCGCAGTGTCCCTCTCAGTCCCTTCCCCCCCACCACACACACACTTTACTTTCCCAGTCTGACATTTTCTCCCCTACGCCCCGCTCCGGGCCACCTCCAGCTTTTTCTCTTTGCTGCCTCCTGATCAAAGTGCATCCTCTCCCCACCACACCCCGATCCCTGCCCCGGCTTCTCCAATCACCCGGCATCTTCCTACCCCCGGCCCCTGCATTTCGGTTCTCTCCTCCTAGCCCTCTCCCCAAACTGGTAGATCCTCTCGCATTCCTTCCCCAAAATGGTTTCTGCCTTCCTTGGCTTCCCGCCAGCACCATGTATATAACTTCCCTCCTGAAGTGAAAGCAACGTCTCTCCCTCTCGCCTGGCTGCACAACGCCCTGGAGAGGGGAACCCTTGGGATTATTTCCCATGGCCCCATCTTCGCTTGGTACCAAAGAGACTGAACAGAAGCCGCAGTGTCCAAACCGCCTCGGTTTCTCTCACCCAAACAGCCCCCCTTCCACTGAACACATCAATTACCATCTCCAACCTCGTCCCAAGAAAACACAGGCCAGATCCTGATCTCCCTGACTCCGGCTTCATGCCACTGAGTGCAGCAGGATCACAGAACCAGGCCCCTCAGCTATATTTAGCCTTTCCTCGGCCTCCCCTGCTCTTTCGCATCGCTGGCGAGATAGACGGTACAAACAGGCACTTCGTCAGCCGTCAGGAACAGGAAAACCAGATCTATCGCTCACTGAGTTTAAACCTGTCCACACCCACCAAACGGCCCCAAACATTCTCTCCTGTGCCTTAGGCACGCACTTTCCTCTCGCTCGCCGCTGGGTCGAGGCATTCCCTCCACACGCTTTCTAATGCCTCCTTCGTGCTTTGCCAGGTGTCCGTCCCCCATGTTTCTAGACACCCCCACGCAGGTCCCGTCTCCCCTCCCTGCCTAGACGGAAAGGATACTTCCATTCCACAATGCCGATGCAGGCTTTCCGCAGCGGGTGCTGAAGGGTTAAGCAGAACAGAGCCCTGGCTGGCCGCGGGGCTGCTGGTGGCACCGGTTTCTTTGACTTTTCTCTCTGTTGCTTTTTCTTCTGATCATCCTGGGCAGAAGCAGGCTCCATGATCTTCCTTCCCTAGCTGCCTCCGCCAGTTCTTCTCCCCCCGTCCTCTCCTCCCACGGCTGAGACCCCCGTCCCCAGCCCGAAGCCCCTTCTGGTTCTCTTCTGCCGAGCCAGTCTCCTCGGTGCAGAGCGGGAGGCGGAGGGTGAGGGGGGGGCTGGAAATCGCACTCACACATACACAAATGCACCAGGCATGAGTTTAAAATTAGACTCCGTCCCCGCTCTCTGGTGCTGTCAGAGTTCCTGAGACAGCAAAAGAAGCCCAGCAGCTGTTGCTTATCCCAACACCGGTAACTGCTTCCCAAGCTACGGCTCCAGGTTGGGAGTGGGGGTGAGGGACCCACTTCAAGAGGGAAATACT